CTAATGCAGAGGTTTCCCCATAATATCTGTGGTTGGGTTGTGCTCCTTCTCCACTGAGTGCAGATCTGTTAATTTCAGCCATGATGAATGTAATTTCTAGCATTTTAAACTTGTCATCATATACTCATATGCAAATGCGAATGCTAATGAACTTGGATGGTATTTTCATAAATGTTTAGCAGTTTATATACTAAATTCAAACACATTTAAACTTTTAAGCTTAAAAGGATGTAGTTGAAATAAGTTTGAGTTATAAAGAGTTGTAGTTATAAAGTTTTCTAAAGTAACACAGTTACTACATTTATATGGACATTAGTAATCTAATTATTTGCCTTAATATGAATAAGACAATGATATGTTCCCTTCATGATCCCGTTTTACACACATACAGTACATACAGTAGATCGACTAACATCATTGGGTCACCACGCTATCCAATGTTTCCTCAGGAGTTTCATGTAATTTCAGGTGTTTCACTTAAATTTTTTGACCTTAACTGCAGTTTCACTTTAATTCAGAAACATTTCATTCATGCCCCCATGACAAACTGAGGCATTGGATGAGAGTATGAAAATTGATACCACAGGCCGAATGGAAATAAATGTGTGTCTGTGGTTTTTTTACTGAACGAGAACGAACTCGGGAAACCGCGAGGGCAGAGAACGCGTCCTGTGAGAAATGAGATGCTGCGTTCTTCCTAATGGTCGCATGATCTTCACGTGTTTTTAATAGAATATTATTTAAACATTACAGCATTCATACAACGATTTATTGTTTTTCCCCTTTTCAAAATATATACTATGCATAAAACATTATAAATATATGTTGCACAATGCAAATTAAGCAGATTTTTATATGAATTTCAGCAAACAAACACCCTTAATGTGTTTATTCCTTTATTAAGATGTTCATGGTAGTTTCATTTAGGGAAACTCTTGAGATAAAGAAGTTATTTTTCTGAACTTTAATAATAAATCTAAATGAAACGCAGTGCTTCCCATCTCCAATCGCAATGACTTCTGGTACTTCTAGGGCAAGTTTGATGCTCAAGTCTGCATCAGTGTGTCCTCGATATCAAGAACATATCCGCGAAGTTTCACGCGTCCTCGGTTCTTGCGGTCTTGGGTATTGAAACCAAACTTTGGCAGCTGATGATGATGTTACACGAGAACACAAGGACACAAGACCGCTGTAGAACGCATATTGAGAAACAGCCAGTGTCAAACAGCCATGTGTGTATGGTATATCCTGTCGCAAAATGCGGCAAAAAGTATTACATGCAGCCCACATTTACGGCTGTGTTTACACTACTTTTCATTTTACAACGCATAACTTTTGCTGTAATGTGGTAATATGTGGTGTCCTCATGGAGCTTTTGCTGACACCTGAAAGCAGTTTTAGTTTGGAAACTCTTGGCTTTTTAAAATAAGGGTGTGTAAGCACATGTACATTCTCTCCCTGATTGGGTTATCTGGAGCATTCTGTATTCTTCATCAAGCTCAGTTCATAAGATCAATATACATTTTTTTGTTTATTTTCTGTTAAAAAAAAAAGAGTTGGTCTCTGTCCTGTATTAGCATTCTCTGGTGGTGGAGGGTGGTAGAGTGGTGAGTAGGGAGCTCAGTGAGAGGGCTTGGTATGGGTGGGAGGATGGGAGGGTTTGCACCTCGGTTTGCTATAAGAGTATCACATTTTAAACTGTAGGGGGCGCATTGTGTTTTTCTTTTGTTCTTACAGTTTATTTTAATGTCATAACACCCTAACAATCAAATATATAAAACAAGTCTTTTTTGAGAAAAAACAAATAATTCCAAGGGGGAAACGATTGTAATTTAATTTCAAGAAATGTTAATTGGAAAAAGGCTAGGTCTTAAAACATTGTAATTTGAATAAAGAGAAATACATTTTAATGCCTAACAAAAAAAATCTATCCAAATAACATTTTGCTTTCTGAATGTAAGGGAATTGGTAAAGAATGCTTCATTTGTAATAGCACTGGAAAATCTATATGCCACTTGCATTTTTGGTTTATCAGAATGTATTTTCATGTTAGAAAGTCAGTAAAACTTATTCCATTATGACATTAGCAAAAGGTTATTTGTTACTATGAGCATAAAGATCAGAGTATTGACTATTTGGTGAATGTCATTATTGTAAATGAATTAATAAATCTTGATTACATTTTTTTGTAAGGCTTCTGTAATTAAATTGCTTTAAAGTTAAATATCATAAATTTGGTGAATGCTGATTTTATTTATTATTTAATGTAAGATTTTATTATAATCAATATAACTTAATATTAATTGCATATTTGCAATATCTAAGGTGTTTGACACATGACGCTTGTTTTTTTCATAAATATTCCACAATGAAACTAACTAACTAACTAACTAACTAACTGACTAAATAAAAAAATAAATGGGCTGACAGGAAAGTAGATTTTTTTAACATTCTGAAAAAAAAATGCAATAATTAGACAAACATATCCTACGGCTTTGACAGAAGCTTCTTTCATTCATTCATTCATTCATTTTCTTTTAGGCTTTATTAATATGGGGTCCCCACAGTGGAATAAACCGCCTACCAATCCAGCATATGTTTTTATGCAGCGGATGCTCTTCCTGCGGCAACCCATCACTGGGAAACATCCATTCATCCATCCACACACTCATTCACTAACATACAGTACGAACATTTAGCTTACCCAATTCATCTATGGCAAATGTTTTTGGACTTGTGGGAGAAACCGGAGCACCCTGAGGAACATGGGGAGAACATGCAAACTCCACACAGAAATGCCAACTGACCCACAGCCAAGGCTCAATCCAGGGACATTCCTTCTGTGAGTCGATTGTGCCACCCACTGCGCCACCGCGTCGACAGCGTCTTTTAATATATAATAAAATTTATAATAAAAATTATATATTCTCACTTAATAATAATAATAATAATACACAGAACACTTCTTTATGAATCTTGAAAAAAAATAGTTTGTAGTCTCTATCAGTTTTCTGGTGTGTGGAGGCAAAAAATTGATGAGTTGTATCATGACACTTAAATAACCAAAAAGCTTGACGCCACCTCCTATAAAAAATGCCTCTTCAAACCTTTGTGTTTACAGTAATTGATCCGAAACCCTTACAGTGCAGTGATCTGTGAATCTCGCCCTGTAGTCTTTGTGTCATGACTGTGCCATTTAACTGCAAATAACAAACTGCACCAAAATGTCAGTCACTGCAGACTCAACTAATTAAAGATTCTCTTTTAATTAAAGTCACCACTGGAGGATTATGGCAGCTGAGGGCATCACTGTGATGGTGTCTGCTCTGTGTGATTCTTCAGTACAGAAACTTTCTAAAATTGATACCCTTTTCTAGCATGTTATAGAAAAAAAAAGAAAGAAAATGATTTGTCTTGGCTTGAGGATGGTTCTGTTGTGTTTGCATATAGCAGGTCAGTTCTTGAAGCACTACTTGACATTTGATGTGGCACTTGGGTTATACCTTTTACATTCCTCAATGAATAAATCTGAAATATTAAGCCTGCATTATTAATGTTCTGAGTTCATTTCACTCTCATTAAATACAAAACAAACAAAAAAACAAACGCTATTACTAATTAGTCTTAAATATTACTAATTAATTAAGGCCAGTCTTAGCTATATTTAATTTCTTTTTACAAAGGATCTGAAAAAAAGATTTGTTATTTTCTATTTAAAAAAAAAACAATAAACAACAGGAGTTTTTAAACAGTAAGTAAACTATTTGAATAAAACTATGATTTTAGTGCACTATGAAGGGAGCGCAACTGTTAAGGGGGAAATGAAGCAGCCAGTCAGGTTTACCTTATTTTGTACATTGGATTCCATTTTAATGAAAATGTCACTGTGTCTGACGTCATTGGGTTGGTTCTGTTCACTTAGCTAAACAGATCAGTGGAAGTAAAGGATTGCATGCGGAGACTGTAAAGCCAAATTTAACCCAATGTGTGAAGTTGTGGGTGTGGAGCTGGTGCAAACACAAGCATCATATGTGTGTCTAATATAAAATATATTTATTCTATTTTTCCTTTTCCTCTTTTAATTACTGATCATTTGATGTGCCTTGCTCCACCTCTCTTGCTGCCTGACTGGGTTTCTACAATTGTTGTAACGAACTGAAAACAGAGACTGGACAGCCTAACTTAACCCAATGCATAAAGTTGTTGACGTGTATCACAGAGTTGACAACTAATACAAGCATTTAAGTGTCTTATACTGTGTATTTTTCTTTTGTTAATACCTTTTACTTGATGCGCTGTGGTCTTACACTGCTCCAGCGCTGCCGGATGAGGGGATTTACATTCAGAGTAATGCAACGAATAAAATCATACAGGTCTTCACACTTTACTAAGTCACGTCTGTGTGGATTATGTCAAGACATATTTCCTTTACAAGTCGATCAACTCGATTACTCAACATGTATTAAGAATTTAAAAACCTACCATTTGAAAAACCGCACTGATCTTAGTTTGGTTTGAACACGAAAAAAAGTAGCCGTCAGAAGTGAAAGTTCCCACCCCCTTTGGGTTAAATTAGGCTTTACAGTCTCCATGTTCAGTCCTTTACTTCCATTGTATCTGTTCAGCTGAGTGAACGGAACCAACCAAGTGACGTCAGACATAGATGGCGATGGCCATTCCAAGATGGCGGCACCCTGGGTCTAAAATCTAAAACATGCTGTTTTCTTCTAAATGGTTACATTAATCGAGTTTCTTTAATATATTTCCATTAAAGTGGAATCCAATGTACAAAATAAGGTTAACTTGACTGAGTGCTTCATTTCCCCTTTATCATGAAGATCGCTAAAACTGAACTGTAAAAAATACATTGAAAAGCAAGTTACACATAGGAGACATGACTTTAATGCTTTAATTTTTTAATCATTCCAAGTTTAAATGTTTGAACAATCAAAAGGTATAGGGGGGATAACTGGGAATAGAACACAACCAGGAAATATGCTTCTAACTACAGCTCTAGAGAGATTGTTACAAATGTACAAGTTTGGAAGGCAGTTTGTGAATGTTTGTTGGAACGATGGATTAGGGAAACTAAAATCAACAAACTATGTTTATGTGATGGTGTAGTGCAGCTGATTGATATGAGTAACCAAAATGTGATGGTGCTGTGCAGCTGATTGGCATTGACATCGGCCAATCGGCACGTAGCACCGCCTTTTTAAACCTGATTGGTTGGTGCTTGGGATACGTCACGTCCGACTCCGACGCACTGGTTTGGGTGTCTGTAGCCGCGGCTACAGGTAGAGGCTCTGCGCTCGTTCTGAATTTTTTGTAAGTTGTTTGATTCGACCCACGTTAAGCTCTCTTTTGGCATTGTTCTAGTGCATCGTGTGGCGGTGGCTTTTCCCTTGGCTGTGGTGGCTGGATGACTGTTCAATTGCAGGTATGTGATAGCTTTTAACTGGCTGAGTAATGGGGTTTAGCCGCATTTAACCTGCGTGTTTCATGCCGTACAGCTATTAATTCCGGCACCTAGCTGTATTGTATCGACCAACGAGTGATTAGAACGTGTCTGAGTGTGCGCCTATTGGTAAGTGAAGCACGTATGATTGGGTGTGATCATTTAAAGGACCATGTTAATGGGCTTGTTTGCGCTTTTCCTCCTTAGGATCCTCCCTTTTCCCCTTTCTTTCTCCCCTTTCTCTCTTACGTCGGATCTTCCTCTGGTATCATTTGCTTACTAGCTCCCGTGTTCATCGCTATTGCCGTGGTTACCGGAGACCGTCTGCAACTGCTGCTAATGCTAACGCCGGCGTATTGGCTGCCGCTTGGACACCACCAATGCAGCTGTTAGCGGGGACTGCCTGCAATAATTCTTAGCGTGCTGCTTTGTGCTCCCCTTCATTCTTTCATTTGTTTATTTGTGTTGGATAATTGATTTGTCAACATTAGCAGTCTTCTGTTTTTTTGTTGTGTCTTTATTTATGCAAAGTATTGATTTGTTTTTCGTTATTAAGAGTATTCTTTTGTGTGTTTAGTCTCATTTCTAGTAACAGTTAATGTTGGGTCTAGTGTAGGTCAGATGGTGTAAATACAGCTGTAGCTATCTTTCAATTAGATCATGTAAAGTAGGTGTTAATCTGATTGACCCACTTATTGGTGTTTTGTTGGTCATTTATTTTTATTTTTATTTATTTCAGGAACTGAGGTTTCCCCCGGTGGATGACAGGTCACTTTCCACTGGTGGTGGTGTTTCTCTATCGTGTGCTGTGGACACTGAGTGCGTGATAGCGTGATTTTTGAGTGCACTGTGGTGTGTGCGTGTGCTGGGGTAAAGTCTGTCCACTCGTACCCAATCAGTGGGAACCTCCAATCCTGGTTTGGTTTTGTTTATTTATTGTTTCTTGTGTTTAATAATGAAGTGGGAGTTTTTGATGTGTTTTTAAGAACCGTACCATTTGACAGTTTTATTCCAAATGAATATTTTTGTACTTTTTCATTAACTCACGTCTCTGTGCCTTTCTGGGAGAAACGAACCTGTGTCCTTTTCTAATAGTTGTTTCCCTGGGTAACTCCCGGGGTGGCGTAGTCGGTTATTTTTATTTAAAGAGATTTAAACCCTACTCTATACCCTCGTCACATTTATAACAATGGAACTTGCGACCTTAGTTGGCTAACAATGGTTTTTAGAATGTTTGATTTCGGGGGCGTCACGTCTGACTCTGCACTTTGTTTGGGTGCACTTTTCCCAGTGGATGACGGGTCTTTTTCCAACTGGTGGTGGTGCTTCTTTACTGTGTGCTGTGGGACACTGAGTGCTTGATAGTGTGATTCGGGTGCACTGTGGTGTGTGTGTGTGCTAAGGTAAAATCAGTCTACTTGTATCCAGTCAGTGGGAACCTCAGTACTGTGGTTTTGATTTGTTTATTTTTTTGTCATTGTTTTCCTTGTTTTATTTAATGATATAAAGTGGGAGTTTTTGATGTGTTTTCAAAAACGAGTACATCTTTACATTTGATGAAAATAAATATTTTTGTACTTTTGTAATTACCCACGTCTCTTTGCCCTTTTGAGGGAAACAAACCTGTGTTCTTTTTCTAATTTAGTTATTTCCCTGGGTAACTCCCAGGTTGGCGTAGTCGGTCATTTTTATTCAAAGACAATTAAAACTCTATCTCATCTCCATCCCCTCGTCATCCACATTGGCAGATCTAGATCAATCTCTTTGCGTCAATAGAGCAACAGCCTGTGCAAGCTCAACTGTGCAGCCATTGAGAATCCCAGGAGAATGGTGACTCCACCCTGGAGCGCTCCACCTGATGTGGGTGTGATTTAGATAACCCTGTGTGGTTTTCCTGAAACTCCATTTCCAGTTGTTATGAATAGGAGCAAAGAGATTAAATCTATCTAGTGCAACTCTCATACCCTCTCTGGATCTCTCTGTGGTCCTCTCTGGACTGCAGAGAGAGCTGTTCGAGCTGCTCGATTGAGAATCTTCCTTCTCTAGAGACAGCACTGCTCATCGCGCTGGTTTCTATCAAGAGGGTCGGGGACCTAGAGGCATTTTTGTTCTGCAAATTGTGCCTAGAAATCTGGATGACTAACTCTGATGTTTTCCTGAGATCCCAACCAAGCTATGTGCCCAAGGTTCCTACCTCTTCATTTTGAACCAGGTAGTAAGCATGCAAGCATTGACCCTGAATGAGGCAGACCCAGCCTTATATTGCTGTGTCCCGTTTACAATGATAGCAAACAGCAGCTCTTTGTGCATGATTTCGTCTTTTGGGAAACAATTTGATTGTTGGAAGATGGGTGTTGCTAACAAAATAAAAGAAGACTAATGACAACTGAATGAATGAAGACAATAAATTATTCTTCTATGGCCTGCCTTTGAAACTAAGAGAAAAAATGGATCCAACTTTTTTTTTTCTGAAAAGTCTTATTCTATGATAATTTGCTTGAAAATACGACTTTGTTATCTGTTTAATAGTAGTGATATTGCCATATTGAATTGGATTTCTCAATCAAGCCCACCAATAAAAAAAGAAAAGAAAATGGGAATATGTATGTATGTATATTTAACACAAGTTCAAGACCTAATGGCTAATTAGAAGACTATACAAGTCGTTATCAATGTCTCTAAAAATGGATTACAAACTGGTTTCTACAGAGTTCATCAGCCTTTAGCCTTGTCATTAAGATAATGCTGGAGATAAAGTATATTCAGCTCCTCTGATTCTGTCAGTGTTGAAGCTGGAACCATGCAAATATTCACTGCAGAATACTTAGTCAGTCGAAGAACACAAGGTATCTCTATTTCTGTTCACAGGACAAACACCAGCACAATGACAATGAAGAGTGTTAGCTGTAACGGCGTAGGCGGTGTTCCTGTCTCTGGTCCTGGATGACTAGCAGTCATTTAGAGATCAATGTGTCTGTCAATCTGTCAATGAGACAGTCAATGCATGGCTGTGTGTGCATTTATCTGCTAGGAGAGTGTCAGCTGAGGATGTTAACAGGCAGCTGCTTAAGCTCTCAGTGAATTTGACTGGCTTAATTCTACACTTACAACAGAAGTGGCCATGAACGTGACCTGGCTGCAGAAAGTGTTTGTAAGTTAAGTCATGCTTAAAATTTAATTTTGCTGGATTCAGATATAGTACCAAGTGCCATATTTTTCTTTATTTCATCTTGTTACGTAAGAGATAATGTTCAGTATCCAGCAGGATTTTATAATAAAAAAGGCTTTTGTTTTTACTGGTTGTACATTGCTTTTCTTTTATATTTCAACTTCAAAAATAAATAACTCAATGAATTTCAATGATTTTATTTCTAATATCTTTAATGACAATCAGAGATATCAATATAAGAATGACAAGAAAGAATGAGTTTGATACCTAGATTACTGTTGTGTTATTCTCAACATCGGCTCATTCTGAAAACGTAGTCCTACAGTATGTACGCTTCTAGTGACTGCGAATTATGTAGCCAAAGGTCTGCATTTAATTATTAAGCCAATGCTACGAGGTGATGTGATGCCATTCCTTTTCGTGCTTACCAGCTGACCGATTACATGTGGATGACTTTCCTGCTGTAACCAGTGTCTCCTGTTAGGTCTATATGTACGTCGGCAGACTTGAGACGCAGAGAGTAGTTGACCATGACGACAGAAAACAGAAGCCAAAAAATGAATTAAACAAGTAAATAACTGGGTGAGAATGTGGTAAAATCTGAAAATGTCAGTCAGTCAGTCATTCAGTCAGTTATTCAGTCAGTAAATAGCGCCCTCTGGTGGGTTTATGTGAGAAGAGCAGGCGCAAACGACACTAGTGAGAGTAATGTGAGATCTCAAAAAGCATACACAGCGGCATCTCGTGGACTTGTGAAAACAAAAACTGCAAAAAAAAAGTACCTCCTGGGATGTATTTCGCGGTCTCCAGTAATGTATACAGAGGCACGTTTTCAGAATGAGCCTGGGTCGGTTATTCTCTTTACTACTGACAAACAATGTTAACGGGGAATAATGCACATTTGAAAGTAGCAATTAATCAATAAGAATTCTGTATTTTTTGATTTACCAATAAGATGAATCTGAAGAAAAAGTGAACATACTTGGTTTTCATTAAAAGGCACTTTCATGCTTATCAAAAACTACAGCTGTACAGTATGGTGATCTTCCACAAATCATGCACACCGAATGGCAAATCTCACTGCCATGATTAGTGGCTTCATGATTTCATTTATCAATTTCCTCATATTTTTTTAAACAAATAGATTAATTACAAGAATACATTTTTTTTAATTATAGTGAAAATATCTTTTTTTCTGCATTTAATGACAGTATAGGTGATTTGAAAAAACACATTGTTATGCAAGTTAAAAGCCTCTTTACATCTCAATGACACTCATTAAGTGGTCAAATAAATTTGTGCCGTTTATTATCTGTAGATGGTGTAAATGCTCAGCTATGCATTTGAGACCACCTCAGCAGAATTGCTTTAACCATTCTCTAACTAGGCGGCACAGTGGTTAGCATTGTCGCCTCACAGCAAGAAGGTCACTGGTTCGAGTCCCTGCTGGGTAAGCTGACATTTCACTGTGGAGTTTGCATGTTCTCTTCATGTTTGCGTGGGTTTCGTCAGGATGCTCTAGTGCTCTATAGGTGAATTAAATAAACATAAGTGTTTCCCAGCACTGGGTTGCAGCTGAAAGGGGATCCACTGCGTAAAACTGTTGGTGGTGTATTACGCTTTAAACTAATAACAAACTTTGAAGACAGACACACAGACAGGTCTATAGAATGAAACAACACATAATAATGAATAAAGTGCATGATGCCTCTGCCTTTACTGGCAAATTATCTTTCAGTCTGTGCTCTTTCTGAGATGACATTCCACTGTACATGATCTCTTACATCACCTCTACGCACAGAACAATGTAAAAATGTGGCCTGCATGCAACCTGAGCTGATAAGCTTAAACCAGCTTTCCGTTTTTCCACACCACACTGTGATCAGACGATCAGTATTTAATCTGCGTTTGGCAGTGAGGCCGATTGCATCACCAGGGCAGGATCTCCTGTCTACAAGACTCTCAAAACAGATGTCTGTGTTTAATCAGGACAGCAACAGTCATCGCCTCTTACAACTCATGCTATTGAGAGAAAGAGAGAGATCTAGATTGATTCAAAAGGAGGATAAATGAATGCGGCAAGGAAATGATGGCTGTAGAGATACAGCTTAATGATTCTCTGACTCGAACACATTCGCAAGGAAGTGTGAGAACGCAGCCGGCAGGGATGAGAACATATGCTGTTTCAGCATGTGCATGAAGCTGGGTCTTAAAAGCTACTCTTTTGTTCTCAGCTCGCTTGTTCCCATTCTGCTTTCTTTCTTTGAGTGTTCTTCTTTTTCACTAATGTTCGCTGTCGTCAGTTCAAACCATTTATCTAACCATTTCCCTCTCTCTGTTTTCCACCACCATCTTTTTCACAGCTATGGACAGGGGAATTTCTGGATTAGTACTGCGTGATAAACTTGGAGATACAGAATCATGTTTGATGTTTAATCTGAAGTTTAAGAGACTGTCATCGGCGATCAATACTGCAGATAATTCACAGCAAGTCAAAGTGTGTGTCGTATGTGTGTGAAAAAGTGAGAGGTTGTGAACTAACATAATATATAGTCATGGAGCGTCTTCAGATAATACATTTAAAAATATATTGGAAAAAAAGTTACAAAATACATATTTTAACACAATTATATATATATATATCTATATATATATATATATATATATATATATATATATATATATATATATATATATATATATATTTTTTTTTTTTTTCTTCCTCTTGATTTTGCTCTTAAATATTTACATTTTTATTTAATGTTTATCCCTAACATAAATTTGAGTAACTAATTTTTGTACCATTGTCATAAGTTGTTTTGTTAGATTAGCTCCAGATTTGGCTTCAGTACTGAGACATTAAATGTATATGCACAAATATAGAAAATATTAATTTAAATGAGAGATTTGTGAGGGGTTTATTAATTTTATAATCATTTAATAATAACTTATTATTATTATTATTACTTCTTATTATACCTTAATATATTAGAGCTATTTATTTTTGGTCCAGAATTTGTCCTATACATTAAACTACACTTTCAATTTACTATGATCTTTTATGTGAAGCTGCTTTGACACAATCTTCATTGTAAAGGCGCTATACAAATATAGGTGAATTGAATTGAACATACTCATGTGTCCTATTTTGACTGCTTTGTCATCATAAATAGTGAAAATAGCCCATCTAAAAAGTCAATTAAGACCAAACAGAATCCTCTGTTGGTTGTTGCTTCAATGTGACTTCAGCTAATCAGTTTTGGCAGATACAAACAATTAATTTTCATAAGTTCAACATCCAGCTGTGCAAAAAAACTCACAACCGGATATAGATGAAGTCATCTTTCACTGCTGTATTGGAAAGATTTTACAAGTAACTTATTCTTGAAATAAAAAATGACCAATGAAAATGTGTTAAGCACCAAAAGAGGCCAGTATTAAAATGAAATTAAATACTAATTTGGCTATTATTGTTATTGAATTTTCAAATATATAGTTTTTACAAGAAAGGTTAGAAAAAGATCTAGAAAGATCTACATAATTATTATTAATATGTTTACTTTTGGTGAAGCAGTGGCACAGTAGGTAGTACTGTCGCCTCACAGCAGGTAGGTCGCTGGGTCACTGTTTCGAGCCGAGCCTCGGCTGTGTCAGTTGGCGTTTCTGTGTGGAGTTTGCATGTTCTCCCTGCATTCGCGTGGGTTTCCTCCGGGTGCTCCGGTTTCCCCCACAGTCTAAAAACATGTTGTTGAGGTAAATTGGGTTGGCTAAATTGTCCGTAGTGTTTGAGTGTGTGTGTGTGTGTGTGTGTGTGTGTGTGGATGTTTCCCATAGATGGGTTGCAGCTGAAAGGGCATCGCTGCGCAAAAACGTGCTGGATAAGTTGGCGGTTCATTCCGCTGTTGCAACCCCGGATTAATAAAGGGACTAAGCCAAAAAGAAAATGAATGAATAAATGAATGTTTACTTTTTTATTTTTCAAAGGGCCAAATTCTGACAGAGGAAAATTGAATGTGCTGACCAGTTTGCTATTTGCCTAATAAATGATGATAGGCTCCAGTTTTTAATTTAAGACTTCAACAAATTCTTTTTTTTTTTTTGTCTAATGATATATAGCGTAATTAATTTGTATTTGAAAAATAAGTACTTAATTCATATTTCTTTATTCTAAATATTTAGGAATCATCTTTGCTACATTAAAAGAGTGACTATGATGACCATCCGACAAGCTAATTCAGCTGAAAATAGTGCTTAAAATTTCACTAAAATGCAGTATTTAAAC